AACTCTTTTTCTTTCTACCTTTTTACTGTTCCCCAGGCAGGGTCTTGCTCTGTTGCCCAGGGAGCAATCAAGGCTCACAGCAGCCTTGACCTCAGCAGGTACAAATGATCCTCCCACCTTAGCCTTCCAAGCTCCTGGGACTGCAGGCATGAACTACTACACTCGGCTAATTTTTTAAAAAATCTTTGTAGATACGGGGTTGCTCTGGGTTGCCCAAGGGTCTCAAAGTCCTGGTCTCAAGCGATCCTCCTGCCTCAGCCTCCCAAAGTGCTGGGATTATAGGCATGAGCCATCATGCCCAGCTGATAGTAATTCTTTTAACTTTAAAAAATAAGTTAATTATTTAATGTTATTGTTACCTATATAGAAAAACTGATGACTGAATGATAGGGTAATTTTATACTAGAATGCTACCTACTCATTACATTGCACAAAATAGGTCCTTAAAACAATAACTTTACCACCAACTATAAGAAAACAGCTTTTCTAAGTAGTGCCAGAAAGAGCTTTAGAAAAGCATTGTCTGACTGCTTGCAGACTTTCGAAGCAAAGGAAGGTTCCCGAGTGCACTAGAATGAGGTGGTAGACTCAATTCAAATTTCTTTATCTGTATTATCTTATTGATATAAAAATGCAAGCATAAGTTTATATAAGAACAAACCACTTTTTCCCGTTTGTACTAGTTTTTCTTTAAAATTAGAAGTATAAGATTCACTCAAAATGGGTTTTTACACATAAATGAGTTAACTCCATACTTATCTAGTTCTGTCACTATTCCTTATTTCTCAATTAGCTTTTGCATCCATTGATAATAAAGTTCTATCATTAAACATTCGAAATTTTGCTCTGTTGAAAAAATAAATGTCCCTATCACCAAAGTTACATTAGAAAATAATTTTTAAAGGTCTGTAGTTTTTCCTAGTCATCACAATTACCTGAGTGTGCAGAAGTTCTTCTTGAAGTTGGTCAATTTTCTCTTTGTCTGACACCTAAACGTTTAAAATAATTTTAGTTGAACAGAATTAGGTTTATGCAGAATGTACAGCAAGTTAAATTTTTTTGTAAGTATTGAGAGTTAAAAACAACGGACTTTACATGTACCTTTAATCAAAGTAATTTTAAATCAAGTGATTTAAGAAAAAATACCTGTATTCATGAATAAAAATAGTTCACCAAAATTTTATATTAAGAAATAAAAACTGTAAAAGGCAATCATTTCCTGTTGCCATTCTAGTCATTTCTCATGAAAGACTAATTAGAAAAATAAGAGGTCAACACATATGGTTACTAAATTCTTCAGAAGTTGTTTTGTACTAATAAAACAAGTGTAGGGACTCATGTATTTGGGGGAAACACAGCATTGATAACCCTCCAGAAATTTGTTTTGAGAAGTCAAATACATATTACTATTTATAGCTATTTAAAAAGCACATTGGTCATAGTGTATCTTTTAAGGAAATATTTCTGTATTGTATCCATTTCTGTACCATAAATAGCGGAATATATAATAAATGCAAAGAAAAAGCTGCATTTTCAGAAACTTAAGTGGAGCCAAATGTTTGCTTTTAAATTCAATTCCAAGGAATGATCTGCTAACTCATAATACAGAGACTGCATCGATAGCAATGAAGCCAAGTAAAGCAACTAAAATTAATTTGAATATAAAACAAAAATAAAACCCACAGGTATTGTGTAAACTACTTCAAATTGTTATTAATGCTAATAATTATAAAATATTAAAAAACAATTTTACGTCATAAAAGGTTTTAAAGTAGTCACAATACAACTATAAATACAAAATATAATAATCAAATAGAATAAAAATGATGTAATTTATGATAAATTCACATAATCATGCTTTGACTTCTTGGTAAGAGGCACAAGTTGTCATCCCCAGCCTTTAGTTGTCATCCCCAGTCTTTAGTTGTCATTCCCAGCCTTTAAAAACAATAACTGTCTAATTTCTAAAAATCAAAACTTGTAAATAGGAACTTATTTCACAGGAGAAAAAAGTGAAATCCATACTTCTCTTCATTTAAATTCCTGTTGGTCTTCAGTCATTGGATATTTAAGCAATCACAATACATCAGGGAAGCAAATATACATGAAAAAATTTTAAATAATTTGCTTATTGAAGTAGACATTAATAAGTCTTGTCCATAAAGTTATTTTAATTCCTATTTCTAAATACTTATTCAAAATTTTCCCCAAATTTTAATTTCAGTAATATAGATGACAATCTTTGCTAGAAACAAAAGGTACACTCTTTTTTTTTTCTTAAAAGGTTATGCCTAATTATCTCCAAAAATGATCTGGTAATTAGAAAAAAGATAATGCAAACTTCAGTTGTTTTCTCATTCCTGTACAGCAAACACAGATACGCTGATAGAAGCTTTTTTCATTTTGACTGTGTGTGTTTATGCAGGACTGACAAGAATTATTAACAGTCTCCTAAGCAAGTTGGAGAGGAGCCCACAAACCATGGAACAGAATCTTGAAAACCAATGAAGAAATAAATAATTTCACATTATGATCATTTGGCATGCTATCACATTGTAACAGTTTGGTCATAAAATATTGTTACGTGGATTTAATTTCCAATTACTTTTAAAAGGTACTTTGATTTACTTTGTTCCTTTAAATATTTATCCAACTGTAGCTAAATTAGTCTGAAATGTATAAATGGTATTAGTATAAATTGTTTTAGTTTTAATTGTAAATACTAACTGACTTCATGCAATATATCCTAAATTATTATAGAAAATTATAGAAAATCCGACATTACTTGACATCTGGGGCAATAACTTAAAAACTAACACAATTAGACAAAAAAGTTAGAATGTTTATTATAAGCCAAGGGCTATAAGGTTAATTTAATTTGGTAAAATAAAAAGATCATATTAAAAGTTAAAATGGGCCGGGTGAGGTGGCTCATGACTGTAATCCCAGTACTTTGGAAGGCTGTGGCAGGCAGATCAACTGAGGTCAGGAGTTTGAGACCAGCCTGACCAACATGGAGAAACCCCATCTCTAATAAAAATACAAAATTAGCCAGGCATGGTGGTGCATGCCTGTAATCCCAGCTACTTGGGAGGCTGAGGCAAGAGAATCGCTTCAACCAGGGAGGCGGAGGTTTCAGTGAGCCGAGATTATGCCACTGCAGTCCAGCCTGGGCAACAAGAGCGAAACTCAGTCTCCCAGAAAAAAAAAAAAAACAACTTAATATAAGGTTAGTAGAATACTACAAACTAATTTCTGTGCTAGATTAGTAGTACTTAATGATCACAACTGTTAAGATTTTTATAAATTTGGATTTTTAGGAGTATTTAAATGTATCATTTGCCTTTCTGGTACAATGAAGAATAACTCATGCATGGTTTATCAGCATATTCCCTCTCCTTAGTTTAATGGAACATCACAATTAATCTTGATGTTATATTAAAAGACAGCTGGTGGTAGAGTAAAAAATTAGAACTAATATTTCCTAGGAAACAAGATAAAAACCTTTAGGCTTATAAAACAAACATTAAAGATTGATGAGATAATTTTTATGTATTTTCTTAAGAGAATAACACAAGCTATTTTCAATCTGTCACTCTAGGTCTTAACTAGCAATTGGGGTATATTTTATTCTGATGTGCTTTACTGATAAAGTTCATCCGCTTACAACAAGAACAAGTTCATGTCCTGTTGTTCACTATATTGTTTGCATTATGAAATAAATTTAAAACTCACCCTGACAGAAATGGTTATCAATGGTCTTGAAACCAGAGCTTTTCTACAATTCCAGGGCTATGAAACTGACGGAGAAAGAGCGGAATCCTCCGCAGAAACAAGCTAAAGCTGAAAGAGAAAAACCTTTACTAGCTCCTCACAAAACCAAGCCTAATATAAAAATTTCAAGTATTTCTCCCTATTAAAGCCATTGAGGCCATTCTGAAATACATATATAAAAAGGCCATTGTAAAAATTTCTATGTATATGAACATATCCACAGGAGGCTAAACTACCAATGTAGTTTTAATCTTATGTCTCTGCTTGAGCTCTTTTGCTCAGAAGATACAGGGGAAAATTTATTAGTTGCTACTGCTATCAAAAATGATGCTCTACTCAGAATTTCAAGAAGATAAAGAAGAAACAGCAATTAAAAAGCAACAAAAAGTCTTACGGTTTTGTGCATCTGGTAAACTTCACTTGCCTGGAATGATAAAAATCTCATGAATTAGGATTTTGATCATTACAGCAGTGAAGAACTGAAAAGTCATCTCTGTAGTAACTCCAGGGGGAAAGGAGTGGAGGATAAAGTAAGGTAACAGTCTTTTGCGATAGTAAGAGGGATGACTTCATTACAAAAGAGCACACATTACTTTTAAAGCCCCATTTGCTTTCCCTCAAGGCAATTACAGGGCGGGCAGGAACAAGCCCTGTTTGGTACTCTGCTAAGGTTGAGTCTTACCAGTCTCTAATTTACAAATGCGGAAAGAGAGGTATAAAAGGGTTAAATGGATAATCCAGTAAATATCAAAAATGGGAATAACATCTCCAAGCCCAAATAAGACTAGTAAAGTAGGTTTAAAATGAACATTAGCTTTCAGTAATGCAGAAAATGAATCAGTATTCATTACAGATCTCTCCTGAACTGTCAGATTCAAATGCTCATCATTAATCTTAAGTCATATCTTAGAATGTTAAATACCAGGTATATGGGACTCATTTCAAGCTGTCCTAGGAAAAAAATTTAAGAACAATGTGTAACTACAGCCACATTCTTATTTCTAAGTAATATATCGCAACATACTTGCTCCTCTCCCTTCTTTCTGTAACAAAACTAATGTATGGATGGCTCAGCCTAAGCATCAATTTGTTAGGCTATTTAAATGAAATACTCACAGTATATAGAACAGGGATTGTTAAAGTACCATTTAAAATAAGTCCTCCTTGACTTAACACATCTACTTTAATTTAACCATGGAGGAAACTAACTTCTTTTCTTTTTCTAACTATACTTTTGCTCACCGATGCTAAATAATATATAGGTATTGATTCCACAGCCATGGAATTGAGAAAAGCCAGGAAGTGATGCTGAAAAAATAAATGAAACTATGGTAAGTACTCTAAAGTATTAACCACCACTAAATCAGATAAGGTTAGCCAGCAGAATTACTGCACCAAATCATTAAATATTGGTTGATTTAAAAATCAGAATCTACAAGAATTATATGACTTAATATTTTTTCCTAAGGTTTATATAACTTCAAAACTTTTCTGATCTAATAATACGTAACATAATTAACTGATTTCAAGATCTCAGAGCATAATTTTAAATTCATAACACTTATTTCACTTTAACCTAAAAGCCTCTTCCAAACATGAACTTTGGGATCTACAATGGGATTACCTAACCATCAAAATCATATTTTTAAGAACCTGATGACTGCGCTAATATCTACATATTGGTGTAGACTTAGGCTTTTATTAGAACTTGTTCTTTAGTAACCAGAATTATATCAAATTTCCAGTGTTGAATCCCTCAGCAGTTCAAGGTGAGGACTTATTTGTGCTCACTTTATTGATTAATGTGAAAAATGTATTCAATGAGTTTATCAAGTATGTAAGAACTACATGCTTTTGCACAAAAGTCAAAATAATTTTCTTCTATAAGAATATGAATGCTCCCTGTTGATATACTTTAGCTAAAACAAATAAATAAATGTTTTTCTTTAGTGTAAACTGGTCATTTACAGCAATCCTTTGCATTTTAGAAATAAAAACTTGGGGAAGAAGTAGATAGGTAAGATGCCTACACACTTAAGGTGACTCAACAACTGGACCACATAAACAGCAAGTCCTAATTTTCTTGTAAATATAAACAGAGGCCCCCACAGACAACCTAATCTTCAGAAACCAAAATTCCTACGGTTAGGTTGTTACTTTTGGCTTTTCCTACACTATCCACTTCAGAAAACTTACATAAGATGTATCTTTTCTATTTTTACTTTGTCAAAAATAATTTCTTATAATTAGAGTCCATGAATGGATTAAGGCGACATGATCTTGGCAGAAATGGCTGATTAGTGTGAACATATTGGTAGCCCCCTTAAACCAACCATCACCTTGCGCTTCTGTTGGGCATAGCTCGTGCTATATTGGCCAGCGGTTCTGCGTGCTTCCTCTTCATGCTCTTGAATTTGTTGTTGTAAGAGAATGAGCTCACCAAGCAGACCCTGCCATGAGTTTACAATGAGGAGAAGAGGAAATTGGGGAGGAGAACAATGTTAAACCAAAGGGTGCAACAAAGGAACAGATATGTAAGATAGGGAGGGATGGTTAACTTAAAACAGAAATGGAAACTCATGTATCTTTAGAGCCGTCATACCTTGGGGCTCTGTACTGCATTTCCATTTTCCCCCTTAGTAAATCAGATGTCTCAGAAAAATAAAACAGCATAGTTTCAAAAGTGAAAAGAAGAGTGCAATAATAACTGCTAAATAACATGAGCCAGATACATAAAAAATATGCAGAAAAAAATACTGATTTTTTAAAATAGTGTTGATGTCACTGGTCTAAATTAATATTTTTTCTTTTTTTGAGACGGACTCTTGCTCTATTGCCAGGATGGAGTGGCAGTGGCGCAATCCCGGCTCACTGCAACTTCCATTTTCCAGTTTCAAGAAATTCTCCTGCCTCAGCCTCCCAAGTAGCTGGGACTACAGGCACGCAACACCACGCCCAGCTAATTTTTTGTATTTTTAGTAGAGATGGGGTTTCACCATGTTGGCTAGGATGGTCTTGATCTCTTGACCTCGTGATCCGCCCGCCTCGGCCTCCCAAAGTGCTGGGATTACAGGCGTGAGTCACCGCGCCTGGCCACTGGTCTAAATTTTCTAATTCTCAACCATGATTCTCACAGGACTGATTGAAGATCATAATAACTTATTTACTTATTAAATTATTATTTTTAAGTTAATAATTTTTCTTGATATTTCATTTTTTCAAGTAGAGGTTAAAGTCCCTAGAAACAATTTTGCAGCATCAAGTTAATCAAAGTTTTACATTAAGTCATATATTCTATGTATCTCTGCATACATCTGATTAAAATTTAGGGTTCTCTTTTTAAATTAAAAGGTAAATGTTTCATGTTCTGATATGACTTCATACATATTATCAAATAACTAGTCTGACTGAATTTTCACTTTTTCTGAGCTGTTATGACAGTAAACAGAAATAGCCTCTGAGAATACAGCCAAGCATACACAAATTACTCAACAAAAGTGTATAAAACAGAAGATATGGAGACAATATAGTTTTTATGAAAATTTGAAATAAAAACAAAAACCAGTTTGGAGCTATGCACACACACAAAAAACCACCTTTTCTATTTCTAAAATTCATTCCATTTCATAATTATAAAATGGTACATTGGTAAAAATTTTAATTACAGCATATTCACATGTGGCATCATAATAAAATACATGTCATTTCCTGCATGGTTTTATCAACCGTTGGCCTATTAGTAACTGACCTCAAAAAATGTGGAGAAAAGACAACTAAGATTTGACAATGTTACAAGCCTAATGTTTTCTTAATTTGAAATCCAAAAAAAAAAAAAAAATAAGCAAGTTCTAATGAACGAGGTAACAACTTAATTTGTATAATAATAGTGTTTCTGGGAAAACAATAGACTCAATTTTTACCCAGTTATAAAAGAGGAAAATGACTGTTTATTAAGATGTTCTAAATTAGAAGTTTAAAAAAATTTGAGTTTAAAAATAATGACTGCCAAAAAAATTTTATTTTATATAATTAGAAAGTCTCTTAAAATTTGGATATAATTTGGAGAATTTTATTCTGTTAGTTTTGATACATGAGGTTGTGATCATTGCCAGTATTAGACAATAAATGAAACTGGTTGATTTACTCTCAACCAAAGGATAAAACTAGTTGACTTTTTCCACACGACAAGTGAAATTCAACATTTGTTTCCAGATACAATAGTATAAAATATAGTTATAAAAAGACATGTCTTTAAATAAATCAGTTTTATGATCATTAACAAACCTGTTAAAGAAAGATAATGCCAACTACTACCTTCTTCATTCTCATAATTTTTACCTTTTTTAAAAAATCACTGCTTTATCAAGCAGAAAAAGTAACCTCACTAATTTTCATTCATTTGGTCATTTGTCATACCCCTTTCTCCAAATCATCCAACTGTTTAAATTTTTCTAACAATTCCCTTTAAAAAAGGCTTCCTATGTTGGTTTATGTAGTGGTGTACAGTAGTCTAATTTATAAAATCTCAAAGCAGTGAGAAAATATTCCACACTTCTTACTCGCATCTATGAGGCACACAATGCTTTTTTATTTATAGCTTAAAAATTCCTCTCTAATTCATTGCATATATATACAAATGCATGACAAAAACTCCAATAATCTATTAGATTTCAAGAAAACACTCCAGGGACATGTCACTTTCCTTCCAACCCTGTTACTGAAGCACTATTATATAAAGATACTTGAAATTAACCTTTTGCAAAAGTAGGAAGAAAACAAGAATTAGACATAGAAAAGCTATCTACATTATACTACACTTCTACCAAGAAGGTTATCTTTCTCTGATTTTGTGTATCAGTCTTACCCTAAATACCATGTGATGCCACATAACCTAGGGTAAGGCCATGTGGAGCAGGAAGAGGGTGGAACAGGAAGAGGAAGAAATGTATGCACCTACTAGGCAAGAACACTCCTCAGATGTACAAACTGCATTTTTCAATAAACATTTTTCCCAAGCTTAGACATTTTTCTTTCAAGAAATGGCATACAAATAATTTTTAAAACAGTATGATACATAAAATATAGTATTTATAAATAACAATAAATAATCATTAATAATCACTGATGATGTAGTCTCTAAACTTCTCCTTACTCCTGGCTATTGTCAATTTGACACTGCAGATCTCAATCTCTCATCTCTCTTTTTTTTAATCTCCATTTCTGAGTCAGCTTCCTAATGTCAGTCTCATTTCATATACAATGTCCTCAGTTTTTAAAAAATTATAACATCAGATCAAGAAAATTAGTAAACTCCAGAAACCAAAATATCAAATGAAAATACTGTGCTAAAAGTGAATGAGTTTGGAGAAAAGATTTTAGGTAATCTTGAAATACTATACTATTGTCCCCCACAATTTCCTGTGTTGAAACCTAACCCCACAATGTGATAGTAATGAGAGAGAGCGCCTTTGGAAGGTGATGAGGTCATGTAGGTTCTGGAGTTACTGGCCTTACAAAAAAAAGGCCAGAGAGCTGCCTAGCCCTTTTTGCTACATGAGGATATAGGGAGAAGGTGTCATCTATGAAGCCATGGGTCCTCAGAAGACATGGAATCTACCAGCGCCGTGAACTTGGATTTCCAGTTACTACATCATTTGTTGCATAAGAAATGCCAGAAATGTAAATCCTACCCAAGCAACAATACTTAATTCCAATTCAGAACATAAAGTACATGAACTACTTTTACAGCCTTGTTCTCTTCAACAGTTGCCAAATATGAAGCCCAAGGATAATTTACAGGTAATCAGAGCAAAAAAAATTAGGGGACCAAAATTTTGTTGGCATTAACCAGATTTATTTAATCAGCCTCTACTCTACTGAGTTAAATCACTCAACTGATTTCACAAAGAACACAACACTATCCCAGGTGCCATGAGAAAAAGATTTAGTGACAGAAATGGCCCATTAAATAGTAAATATGCAAGCCAAAATAAACAGTGTTTCATACGGCAAGTGTTTTACACACTGAGAAGAGTACATTAATGAAGCTATGAAGGTTACGGAAAGCTTCATGAGGTGACAATTGAGCTGTGCTTAAGAATGAGTGAAAACTAAACATGCAGGGAAAAAAGAGACTTCAGCTGGGAGGTACAACAGAAATCATAAAATTAAGAATGAGAGTAATACGTTGGAAGAAAGAACATTAACATATTATTTAATAATATTCAAAGAAATACTACTACTTTTCATGACTTGGTCCATTAAAAAGTCCTTCAAATATTTTTCTATAAATTATAAATGTGCTTGTTATGTTCAGAATGGCCATATTCCTTACTTCTGTGAGAGTCTTATGACCAATCAGAAACATGACAGAGAAAAGCACAAAAAATTAAATGTCTCATTTGGCAAATCAATTTCACTGGAACACAATTATAGAATCTAAAAGAAGGATATAAACTACGTGGTCTTGTCACCTGTATATATGACTGATAATACAGAAATCTGCTGAGTCCCAAATCAAATTAGTCCATCAATTCTCTAAAGTAGGCAGCACTTCAATTTGTCTTCGGGTAGTTCTGAAGGCCTCCAAGTCTCAAGAATATTCAGTTTACATCAAGGGGTATGTCTCTTTTCCTCCAGTGGACACAAGTTTTCAGATTTTTGATTAAAAGAAGCATTTAGTAAGAGGTGGTTTTAATGTATGTCAATCATAGCTCAGTATAGTAGTGTAAGGTTAAACAAGGTTGGTTTTATTATTTTTTCAGTGTTTTATTAATCAAATCATATCAAAATGTTTGATTAACATGACATAAATAGTGTCCACAAACTAAATGGATATAAATCCAAGCAAAACCAAATAAACTTGTAATCAGTTAGCCTGTGCAGCACTATGTGAAAATACATGCTTTCTGTAGATGTTTTTGGACTCCTAAAACTCTGGCAGTAACCCCAGGCTGGGAATCACAGGTAGTTCATCACGGCGTTTATTTGTCTGACTCAAGTCAAACTATCTGTGTTCCCCTCAACTCTCCGTCACTTTCACTTCAGTTGACCATAAAATGGTCCTAACTGTTCTGCTACTTGCCAGCACCTCTCCAGATGTGTTTTCCTATTAGAAAGAACAGACCTTTTCTTTAGTTCTAGTTGTATTAATATTTTTCAATTATTACTTTTTTAAAAAGCTGATTGACATATACTTTTACATTTCTAGTAGAAGTTTGCCCAGAAACTTTGTTACAAACCTTAACTAATACTTGACTGCTTCAAACCCTAAATACTATTTTAAATCTGGGGCTTTTAGACCTCAGACTGAACCAGTCAAAACAGTATTCAGCTAAACCCTGGATGCCACCCTACGACCTATGATTATTGCCCACATTTACAAACTTGATGTCTGAGTGATTTCAATAAAGGTACTGCTAAGCTAAGGTCTCTCTGCATGCTTACAGTCAACCATCAATTTGTACACAAGTCTCAAAATTAGTCAGTTTATCTGCATCTTAGCTGAGCGCCTAATTATTTTCAAGCATCACAGGTAACAGCCAAGCTCTGCAAATACAATGCTGCATATTATTAATAATAGAATTTGAAAACATCAGTTAGGGCTTGAGATATATTTTTGGGTGGTAAATTTTTATAGTAGCATTTGCTATAATTTGACTTAACCTGTAATGAAAGTAGCTTAATTACAACTCTAGATTCAGTATGTATAACAAATAGTTGAAAAAGATAATTGGCAAGTCTTTAATGAGCAAAATAAGCACCATAAATTTAGAAAAAGTTAAAAAAAATGGTTTACGAGGGCATTTACTGTCAAACAAGCAAATTAGAACAGGTAAGGAGTAAATTAGAACATAATGTAATAAATTTACTTTTATGCATATTGCATAAAATAAAATCTGTAAATACAAATTTCCAAAAATAATTCTCTGGCTGCTTCTCTATTGCAGAGGTTCTGTTCAATTACTGATTATTCACTTATGACCTTAGCAGGACTTTAAGGGAATTACCTGAGTCAGGCCCTGAGACAGGTTTTTCATTCATTCATCACAGTGATCCCAGGCCGTATCAGAGAGAGGGCAGACATACAGATCTCTCCTAACCAATTTGCCAAACAAATCTTGCCACTCAAAGAACCATACTACCATACCTGTAACAAAGGTTCCTTCTCCAATTAGATTAGCTCTTTTCTCCACATTAAATTTCCTTGCCTTAAGGGCCAAGGTCTTCACTCAAAATAAGCCATAAATATTAGGCTGATTTCTACTTAAATTCTTTTTCCCCCAGTAGCATGAACAATCAAGGATGTCCTTTCATTAAACAGTGTACTTTGGTTAAAATAATGTCAATGCAAAAGAGTGTCAAAAATGATCAAATCGGCCAGGCGCTGTGGCTCACGCCTGTAATCCCAGCACTTTAGGAGGTAATCCCAGCACTTTGGGAGGCCGAGGCGGGTGGATCACAAGGTCAAGAGATCAAGACCATCCTGGCCAACATGGTGAAACCCCGTCTCTACTAAAAATACAAAAAATTAGCTGGGAGTGGTGGTGCACGCCTGTAGTCCCAGCTACTCAGGAGGCTGAGGCAGAAGAATTGCTTGAAATCAGAAAATGGAAGTTGCAGTGAGCCAGGATCGAGCCACTGCACTCCAACCTGGCAACAGAGCAAGACTCTGTCGCAAAAAAAAAAAAAAAAAAAAAAAAAAAAATCAAATCAAAAGACAAATACACATACATACATTTTGACATACATTCTTCTCCAAAAGATACAATTAAAAGGCAAAAGAAAAAAATCTTTTGAAATATAATTAAAATTTAGAACAAGCATCCCCAAACTACAGTCCGCGGGCCACATTCGTCCCCCTGAGGCCATTTATCCGGGCCCCCGCCGCACTTCAGGAAGGGGCACCTCTTTCATTGGTGGTCAGTGAGAGGAGCACAGTATGTGGTGGCCCTCCAACGGTCTGAGGGACAGTGAACTGGCCCCCTGTGTAAAAAGTCTGGGGACACCTGATTTAGAATATAATGTAAAAAGTTCAAAAGTTGCAGAACAGGGAAAGAAAGAGATGAAAACCTATTCATAGGAATTACTTCTTCCTACTTCCAAAATAAACATAAAATTATTTCTTCGATGTATTAAAACTACAATATCTTTCAGTATAAAAATTACATGCTCCATATTTAATGTTAAAACATTCATAAAATATTTTTTCTATAAATCGATTTATCTAGGTATTATTTGGAACAAAATTTTCAAGGAATCACTTATTTTACCAATTCCAAAAGAAAGAGGAAAGTAAAGACTCAGAAAATGTCAGGTAAATATGTTGAGTATTATAAATACAGAGCAATGTATGTTATTCTATTTTAGCAATTCTCCCATAACTTTCATATGGATTTTGTTAATGAATATGTATTCAAAATAACACACTGTAAATAACCCCATACATAACTTTGTTAACTATCAATATCAGGGAATTGATTTATTTCCTAATAACCCACTTCCTATTCCCTTCTAGTTTCCCTAAAGTGAAATCTAGCCCCTATAAGATATTCCGTGAGCTAAAGGGTTCTGTTGACAAATAATTCTGGAAAACATTGCATGCTTTGACTGCTTGGAAATTCACAATGTGCATGAATATATCACAGTGAGAAGTCCTAGGGAAAAGAAGTCTGCTTGCTTTGTCTAAACAAGCCTCTTCCCTCCTCCCCCTGCCTGACACATTTAACAATAAAACTCTTTCTTGGGGACAACCCTTGAAACTAATATTTCACAGAACATATTTCAAAGAAATGGGCTCTCAAATGTATTTCCAGAACTGCCACATAATACCTTGTACTTTGCACTAAGACTAGTAACAATATCTCTACTTGGATGTTTTTGTATTTGCTCCTCAGATGTTATCATTTTAAATTCTTCCAAAGATGTAAAAACTTTAAAAAAATCTTTCAAGGCTACCTACATGAAGAATTCTCATTCACACTTACCTTTCTAAAATGCTTGTCACTTTCAGATCCATGATCCGTTGCTCTGAATGCCGTTTCCCCCGATGAACCTTAAAGATAAATATGCAACCCTTTATATTCTCCAGTGATGTCAACAGCCTAAGCTGAATTTTAAATATCTAGCCAATGAAAAAGTGAATGGATTTTTAGGGCAACTCAGGTTCAAAGCGTCAAATCACCTTTATTCCTATTTTAAGGAACATGACTCATAACCTGTGCAGAAAATTAAAAAATACTATAGCAATCACAGCGTATGTTTAACCTAACAATTAAAAATATATAACTGAAATTACAAAAAAAAAAAAAAGAGGAGACAATCTTTGGTCAAGATTATTTTATATGAGTACTTACAGTTCAGCCACATACCACTGCCATTAATATGTATTGTAGGAAAACAAATTTCAATGTCAAACATGACAGGGCAGATGAGACAAACTAAAATTACTTTTCATTTCAATTATCAAAAACAATTAGATCTATTTCAGGAAAATATTTTTGCTAAGCAAATTTTCTTTTAATAGCTTTAATCTTATAATACACATACATATTTAAGAATTTCAGTATTATCACAAAATAATTATTTTATTATTTCCACCTAAAGGATAATGAGTTTGCCTAATATAGTTCTGGGGTTTTAAAATTCAGCATAAGCAGCATTATAAATTTGGTCCGCAATTTTATTTGCAACTAGTTTATTAGAAGCATTTAAAAGGCATGTTAAGGTCAGCAAAAATGTCTGTTTACACACCTAACAAGAGAAGTAGGTCAGAAGCTCCTATGACTTCACTAACCAATTTGTGACCTGTGAAAAATCAGCAAAAGGGGAAATAGAAATGTAAAATTTAACAGAAATGAGCAAACAAAGATGTCTGAGATCTCAGATTTCATATCACGATAGGGCAATAATTGGGCAAATATGCCAGGATTAACCTTAACAAATGCTACTCATTATGGTCCATCATACCTAAATTTGTTTTAAAAAATTGGTCCAACCCTTATGAAAAGCAAGTACATAGAAGTCTCATCTACTTGTCAAGAACAAGTGATATTTTTTTCCCCTTCATTCAAAGCCAAGTACACTGAAGTGCTTATGAATTGCCACTTTACTGGCTAAACAAAGATTAAAACCACCGTGCAACAAAAATTCATGTTTATCTTTTTTTTGAAAGTCCTGTTTTTCATTGGTACTAATTTTTTTTTTAAATGGAACTAAACAAATAATCTATGTATTGTTCCTCTATGGTTCTTGAAATTTTAAACTAGATCAAACAGGTCCTTCCTTACCTGTGGTGAAAAGGTCCTTCAATAAGCTGAGGCTTTCAACAATCTTGTCAAAGTCCGGGGCTAACTTTACAAGGTCTTCCGAATTAGGAAGGGCTTTTCTAATTTTCTCTGGAACAGATCAAAACATATAAATAGTATGAAACTAAGAACATATGTCAGGTACTATTCTTATAAAGCGCTAAAAGTATTAACTTCTTTAATCCTTATGGCAACCCTACAAAACGGCTACTGTTATCAACCCCATTTACAGACGAGAAACTAGGGCACACAGCAAGGAAGTGGAGGAGCCTAGGTTCCAGCCCAGGCAGTGTAGCTCCAGAATACAGGCTCTCAGCCACTACACTGTGGTACTGGCAAATATATCAAGTTGAAAGCTCTCCTCATTAATATTAGAAAAACAATTTAAAAGTGTGCTTTTTCTGCAAATACATTCGTCAACACAGAATAGTTTTATCTTTAGAAATTCTGTCAATAAGTGCAAATAAAATTAATTCCACCTCTACCTACACCTAAACTAAGAAATCTACAAAGTTTTTTTAAAAAAATTGATGGAAAAATATTTTTTAAAGATTATAATGAATTACTGGCAATCACAGCTATCCAATAATACTTTTTTCTCATCCACCTATTGGAAAAGCAGGGGCAGTGGACAATTAAGAAAAGAAATTACTCTGGATACAAACAGACTTTTAAAGAACTTGGCTTCAAAAAGTAGAGGTAACCAAGGTATCCAATCAAAAGGAACTAGTTAGGTGGGTCACAATAAATATGCTCTGGGCAACATTACATTAACACAGAAAATGGTGTTACTAATAGAAAGGCTACTTGGCAGCATGGAAATGCTAACAAAATAGGTAGTAAAATACCAAATACCAAGATGTATATTCACAATGATTATATAATTTTTAAAAAGGGAACTAAAATATTATTCTGTGGTAGTGTGTTCATGAAGACAAAAATTAAAAGAAAAAAAATTCAAGCCAGGCACAGTGGCTCATGCTTATAATCTCAGCGCTTTGAGAGGCTGAGGTGAGAGGCATGAGCTGAGGAATTTGAGACTAGTCTGGGCAACACAGCAAGACCCCATCTCTACAAAAAATTAAAAAATTAGTCGGGCATGGCGGCACATGCATGTAGCCCCAGCTACTTAGGAGGCTGATTTGGAAGAACTGCTTGAGCCTAGGAGTTCAAGGCTGCATTGAGTTATGATTGTGCCACCGCACTCCAGCCTGAGTGACAGACCGAGACCATCTCAATCCATTGATAAGTTAAAAAAATATTAACCATATATAATAAGTATAATTAAAAGAAAATGCTCCATATGGTTAGTGGCAGCTGTGGTAAAACGATAGCTTACTGGGTAGTTTTTTTTTTGTACAGATTTTTTCATTGATATTCTATTTCTTATATCATTAAAATAAAACTGTGATATATTTGACTCATAAATTAAGAAAATATCTCAATACAACTATTTCTCCTTCCTCAAGAAATAACCAAAAAAGTATTTTAATGTTGATGATACAAACCAAAATCGATATACTCATCAATTTCCCACACAATGTCAGGCACAATCCATTTATATTCACTAAGGTCCGGTATCATATCTTTCCACTGATCAAAAGTCTACAAGGTAAGAAAGTGTGTCAATCAGATCCTCCGAATGCCAAATAAACATGTAAAGAAAAATTATTTAATTAAAACACATTAATCTACTAAGGGCAATATATTGTGTTCAAAACTTTTAAAAAACAAATTTAAGTGGCCTCAACAGACAAGCACATAAAACATGTAAACACTCCTCTGTTAAACATGGAAAATGTGAAAATTCAGAATATACTCCTATTTCAAGCAGGTTTCATAATTTCGCTCTAAACAGTACAGAGGGGTAGAAGGAAGACGGACTGGAAGACAGGACACCTTGCCTCTGGCCCCAGAGCTGCCAAGAAGTGCTTGTGTGAGAATGCCACCTGACTTCCATATCTGTGCTACTAAATGGCAAAGCTCAAAATCCAACCTAGGTGTTCCTACTCCCAGTCCTGTGCTCCTTCCACTAGGCCATTTGCATTTCTTATAATTATAACTAAGATTCTAAAGGGATCTTCCTATCAGCATCATTAAAACAATCTAGTACATGGTAGAGACACAAAATAAATGTTTAATCATCTAACTGTGTATTCCACTACACAAAAGAAAAATGATTTATGCCCTAAAAACTTAATCATGATAGAATAATTGGAAAAGCAGTAGGAATGTTAAGTTCACCTTTTTGGCTGTGTAGCCACCCCCAACAGCAGATCCTAGTATGAGATAGCGAAGTTTTAATAGTCTCGTGGCTAATCTTGCTGGCCAAAAATTCCTGCGAGGCTGGTAGCCATATTTAATTGGAGAGAATTTCAGTTTACGTAAAGGAGGATTTGTTAGAGAAGAGAACTGCTGAAATGATGTCCTTAATTGGGGTCGTTGAAGCTTTAAGGTAGGATGATGTGAATGATAAATACTTCGAGAAACCAGATGCAGTTTCTGTAGTGGTAAACTTCCTTTTACTCCAGAGCTGTGTTTCACTAAAGACTGGCAGACCTCACTGAAAGAAAAATGAATATAGAAGAAAGATCAGACAGGGTAACAGTACAAAGGAAATGACGTTAGCAATATAGTAAAGGAAACACCCCCCTACCCCAAACATAACTAACCAGTGTCACATAATAGTTCATTTACTAACAGTTGGCTATGTGCCAGACACGGTTACAGCATATGCTATCTCATTTAATCCTGCTAATAATCCTACGTAAAAAGTGCTAGTATTATCGCCATTTTACAGATGAGGAAAACGTGGCACAAAGACTTAAATAACTTGCCCAAAGTCACACTGACATAAGAAATAAAGGTGGAATTCAAACCCAAGCAGTAGGACTCCAGAGCCTGTGCTATAATATTTGGGCTATGATCCTGGTTTCAGGAACTGAAACTAAAGAGGGAAAAAGCAGGGATTTATTTTATTAACTACTATTCACTGTAAGTAAAAGTTGAAAACAAAAATGCATGCAAACTTTTGCTTTCAAAAACAAGACTTCTAGCAGTTTAGAACACCTTAATCTATGTCTCCTGATCCTGACAGCCCAGGGGTGGAAATTAAGGAAATTAATCAATCCTACCTCAGGCACCTGAATCCCCCAGAAAAATGAAAGTAGCAAAAGTGCTCAAAAGAGAACAGAATTTAAATGTACACGATTGCTGTAGAGCTCCATTCTCTTCTCCTTCCTGAAGAGAATGAAAGATTGCCAACAACCATATCTTAACATATACTAATAATTGCATCAAGAGTTGCTTGCTTACTATTAGTTGCTTACTAATCAGAGCTAGGCTTGATTTTACATAGTTAAAAAACATTAATTGCTTTAATTACATGGGACTGGAAACTTCTTGAGGAGGCTGAGGTGGGTGGATCGCCTGAGGTCAGGAGTTCAAGACCAGCCTGGCCAACATGGCAAAAACCCATCTCTACTAAAAGTACAGAAATTAGCTGGGTGTAGTGGCACAAGCCTGTAATCCCAGCTACTCAGGAGGCTGAGGCAAAAGAATTGCTTGAACTCAGGAGGTGGAGGTTGTAGTGAGCTGAGATCACACCACTGCACTCCAGCCTGGGCAACTGAGTGAGACTTTATCTCAAAAAAAAAAAAAAAAGGAATCAAGGAAAACAGAAGCAATGCTGTGAAGACGACTGGTATGGGGAAAGCAATATCTCTTGTTTTCCTATACATATCAGACATTACACTAGGTGGTTTCACTATAGTGCTACTATATAAATGTTAACTCTCAGACACACCCACTAAGGTTTAAGAATCCTTATTTTACAAATTTAGATTTCTTTTAAAAATATTGTTAAAGCAAACTAAATATGGCCTGAAAAGGACTACATACTTCCATATTTGAGTCCTTGTGGATGAACGTAACTTAGTATAATAGGCAGACAAAATTGAAAACCTGAGTATTATGCATCTGTAATAATAGTTTAGTGTTGGCCA